AAAAAATCAATATCGATTGATTTTTTTCAATCTTGGAGCCTTTGGGCAGTGAATTCTCTTCTGCGAAGCAGAGTGCGGAGTGCTTCAAACGAAGAATTGACATGAATTGACCACTATTTGGGAGGACCGATATGGAGACTTTCAATCTTGTGAAATCAGTGCGTGGCAGGTGTGAGCCAAGACTTGATGTTGCTAATTGCACCTTCGATATCTTCAATAGTTAACATGATGTAGACAGGCGACTGATCATTTAAGGGTCAGGTTCTGGTTGTATCAGTGGATCAGGTTTCAAAAAGAAAAGACACTGCCCCAGCGTCTCACTCACTCACTCACTCACTCACTCACTGTCAACTCACTGTCAACTCACTCACTCACTCACTCACTCACTCACTGTCAACTCACTCACTCACTCACTCACTCACTCACTCACTGTCACATCTCTCACTCACTCACTCACTCACTCACTCACTCACTCACTCACTGTCACCTCACTCACTCACTCACTCACTCACTCACTCACTCACTCACTCACTGTCACCTCACTCACTCACTCACTGTCACCTCACTCACTCACTCACTGTCACCTCACTCACTCACTCACTCACTGTCACCTCACTCACTCACTCACTCACTCACTCAATCACTCACTCACTGTCACCTCACTCACTGTCACCTCACTCACTGTCACCTCGCTCACTGTCACCTCACTCACTGTCACCTCACTCACTGTCACCTCACTCACTGTCACCTCACTCACTGTCACCTCACTCACTGTCACCTCACTCACTGTCACCTCACTCACTGTCACCTCACTCACTGTCACCCCCCCCCTCACTCCCCTGTCACCTCCCTCACTGGGGGGGGGGGGGGGGGGGGGCTTCACCTCACTCACTCACTCACTCACCCACCCACCCACTCACTCACTCACCCACTGTCACCTCACTCACTCACTCACTCACCCACTGTCACCTCACTCACTGTCACCTCACCTCACCTCACCTCACCTCACCTCACCTCACTCACTGTCACCTCACTCACTCACTCACTCACTCACTCACTCACTCACTCACTCACTCACTGTCACCTCACTCACTCACTCACTCACTCACTGTCACCTCACTCACTCACTCACTGTCACCTCACTCACTCACTCACTGTCACCTCATCACCTCACTCACTGTCACCTCACTCACTCACCTCACCTCACCTCACCTCACCTCACCTCTCCTCACCTCACCTCACCTCACCTCACCTCACTCACTGTCACCTCACCTCACTCACTGTCACCTCACTCACTCACTGTCACCTCACTCACTCACTGTCACCTCACTCACTCACTGTCACCTCACTCACTCACTCACTCACTCACTCACTCACTGTCACCTCACTCACTCACTCACTCACTCACCCACCCACCCACTCACTCACTCACTCACTGTCACCTCACTCACTCACTCTCTCTCTCACTCACTCACTCACTCACTCTCTCTCTCACTCACTCACTCACTCACTCACTCACACACTCACTCACTCACTCACTCACTCACTCACTCACTCACTCACTCACTGTCACATCTCTCACTCACACACACCACACTCACATCACTCACCTCACCTGTGCATGCACATACATACACACACAAACTCACCCACCATCACCCCTCCATGACTCTTATACTTCCTCTTCCCTTCTTGCTTTTCTATGCTCAGTCTAAGTCTAGAAGTTGGTAACATGTGGGGTTATCCGGTCCTATAATTATTAATAATTACTTACTTTACCTTAGTTTTGAAAAAATAACAAAATGTACTAACGACCAGCCAGTGTTTCTTCGATTGAAAAAATCAATATCGATTGATTTTTTTCAATCTTGGAGCCTTTGGGCAGTGAATTCTCTTCTGCGAAGCAGAGTGCGGAGTGTTTCAAACGAAGAATTGACATGAATTGACCACTATTTGGGAGGACCGATATGGAGACTTTCAATCTTATGAAATCAGTGCGTGGCAGGTGTGAGCCAAGACTTGATGTTGCTAATTGCACCTTCGATATCTTCAATAGTTAACATGATGTAGACAGGCGACTGATCATTTAAGGGTCAGGTTCTGGTTGTATCAGTGGATCAGGTTTCAAAAAGAAAAGACACTGCCCCAGCGTTGGCCCACTGTGGGACCAGTGGATCAATGGTTGGGAGACGTTGATGCGGCATGGCCCAGGTCCAAGAACATGACGGTAACCCGGTGAGCGGTCCGCGACCTGAAAACCCACCTCCACGTTTCCCAGCCTTAGGGTACAGCGACGAACATTCAACATTTTCTGAACATTTTGAAAACTAAGTTTTCGACTGCTGGAAGTGATCATTCAAACTGCTGGCATGCTTGGACTCCAACGTGCTGGACAACCGTGACGGAAGTGAGGATTTGGTATGTGTGCAAGGCAATGGTATGTGGCCATGTTTTGAATATATTTGGTGATGCCGTTTAATTCCTTTGGTCCATTTGCTTGGAATGATCCATCAACATCAGCTTGAGACATTCTTGGATGATGATTTTCCGGTAGCCATGCAGAAGTGTCTCAGGTAGTATCTATGTGATTGGCGTCCTTGAATCAAGGCAAATCGAACATGACGCGTCCGAAGAAAAGGGGTGCACAACAGCTGGCCATTGCTGGCCATCAGTTGGGTGTGGATCAAGCCAGTGGGGGGCCATCGAACCGCCCACAAAAGACTCTTCATTTTTAGGGGTAAACATGGGTAAACGGTTTTGCCGGCCATATTTATGGCCGTATTTGCAAACATTCTGATCTGGCGTTGTGGCAGTGAGATTTTTTGTGACGAGTGTGATGACATTTGCCCACTCGCCCTTGGAAGCTGGCTCTTGTAGCTCTTGGCACTGTAAACGAGCCTGATGCTGCCCTGCTGGTAACTGCAGGGTGAAATCTGGCGCTGCCCATGTTGACGAAATACTATCCATTGTGGTGCCCAGAAGCCACCAAAAGGCAGCCTGCTCAGCCGCCGGCTTTTGATTTTTGGTTGAGCTCGCTTCGCTCCCCTGAGTTCAAAGTCAATGTGCAACAGCACAAAGGCCATGACTACCAGAGGTTCTACACAGAGGCCTACAAAAAAAAGCACCTGAAGGAACAAAGTGGTCAGAGTGAGGGTGAATGCTCCATACTTAGCACTGAAACCAGACAAGCGCACTGCAACAATGTCATACAACCCATGGAAAGCATAGGAAGATATAGGAAGTGTAAATTTTGTAGTGTAGTGTAGGTATACACTTGCCACCATGAGCTTTCAAGCCAGTGCCCTTTTTTTAAGGTTCTGGACATTGTTGAGATTGACCAGGTCAAAGAGACCTTCACTGCAACCTTCAAGATGGAATTCGATTATGTGGATCCAACCTTGATCACCACCTGGCAAATCATCAAGTACCTAAAGACTGAAGGTCCGACAACTTCAGTCGTGACGGTCGAAGCACACATCTTGGGTTATGAACCTGGAGACTCTGAAAAGCAGAAGGTTGTCCTCGGTGTCCTTCGATCTTTGGCTATCATTCACTGTTCAGCTGTGCCTTTTCTTGTGTTTCTGTTTTGCATTTTGGCATTACTGAGGTAGTTCGCACGTTTGATGCGGTTTTTACCAAGGCAAAGGGCACAAAACGACACGGGACATGGAAGACACTATTTGCAAAGATGACTTGCAAGTGGAGTATGACCGCTATCTTTCAGTGCCCAAAAAGGACCTGCTGAGCGTGAGTCTTCCAGAAAGACACAATTGGCAAGACCACGTGGCTTTGGAGTCTTGCTTGCACAGCAGAGAAGTTTGGTGCTTCTGAATTCTTCAGGCTTCCCTAGCAGGTCCCAGAATAGATTGTTGAAGTGCAGAAGGTTCCTTCGGTATGAAGGTGTCAGATCCTTACGACGCTTGATCATGGCCATAGGGCCAGAGCTTCTCTCATGCATATAGAATTAAAGCATTCCGGAACCACTACAGTAGAAGGTGCATGCTATAGACTGTGATCATTACAAGCCGCTCTGTGCACTTGACTGCTAACCTTGTTGCCTGTCGCACTCAAGAAGTGGTCCTTGATGAACGCGGTGCTCACTCGGCATGAACTCATGTGCGAAGATCAGCAGATTAATTTCTTTGACGAATATGGTGGTCATGTTTCTTGGCTGAAGAATTCTTGAGGGTTCTTCAGAACGTTTTGTTCATACGACGAGTTTCACGCAGAAGCACACAGCATGCAAGCTGTGACAAGCCAAGATCTGTCAGCAGGTTTGCTTATTCGTTTTTAGTTCCTGGCCAGCGGGGTGTACAGGGGTGTTTGCGTCTCATTTTAGGCGACGTCCTTGACTCATCAGACCGTTCGTACAGTAGATGGAATTAAAGGACCTGCCTCTTTCCCTAAATCATGTAATTATGCATGTGCCTTTTTTTCCAACTTCTTTATATATGTGCCAGGCAGCCATCCAAACATATCCAAACGTTGAGATATGACCATGACAGACCATACAACCCCGGCTGATGGCTAGCATGGATGTCCATACCATGCTGCATCAGCCCTTCAGCCCTTCAGCCCTCAGGTCACACGCTGGTGGAAGATGCAGGCCACGTTCAGCGACCGCCTTCATTTGGAGAATATGCCGTTCGATCGGCAGCTGTTGCGCATCCAGGCCGGGGTGTCATCACATTCAAATCGGTCTTTGACAACCTTTGATCATTGCACTCATTTAAGCTGTGTATGAACGATGATTTACAATAAATAACAATAAGTTTCATGTTGCATTTGGATCATTTTGCAAGGTTGTTGGCGAGATTCCAACCTACATGATGAAATTTGAGCCCCTGCTTGCAAGAGCTGGAAATTTAAAGACTGTCGAAGCGAGGGAAGACCGCAACCTTCCAGTTCAGTGGACAGTGGAAGATGCACCGCCCGTACATCTACAGGTCATCAAAGAGCATGGAGAGTTTAGTCGTGCCAGGTTTGATTTGCACATCTATGTTGAGAGGAACCCAAGGTTCTACACCATCAATGTATGTCTGTTCGTGTGGCTATTCACAATGGGCACAGGTGTGGCCTTCACCCGTGGAACCGGCACATACAGAGATGGTCACAAGAAGATGGACTGCCTATTGACTCTTCTCTTAACGACAGTGGCTTACAAGATAATTCTTGCTGCATGGCTGCCAGTCAAACCATACCTTACAAAGCTTGATTGCTACCTAGTGCTTTGTTTTTGCTTCCAAGTGCTGGTGATTGCCTACGTTGCCTTTCAAGACTTTTGGGACGCAAAGGCAGAATCCATTCTCAACAAAGACGGTTTCCTTTGGCAGTATGGCTATGAATTTGGAGCTTCGTGGGTGTATGGCACCTGCTTCCTTGGGCACTTATGCTTGGCAACAATGATCCATTTCGACTGCAAACGTGGAATTCTGCGGAGGGAGAGCTGGCACGAAGTGTACAAGAGGAAATTTGTTTGGCCACCAGGCACATCCTTGAAAGGTCACCTTGTTGGTGATCCGCCCGATGAAAGGGCCGGCAAACCTGAAGAGTCGGACGATTCAGAAAGTGAGGCTTTCAACTGTTTTTTCGAAAAAACAGATGAGGCTTCAGTGACGGCTTCAGGACCTGATGAGGATTCAGATGGAGATCACCAAAAGCTGCTCATTGCCTGAATGGTTTTGATCAGATCAGGGCGGGTCTCCCAGCGTCCCCCGGGGTCCCACTGAATGGTGGGCTGTTAGCCAGGCAAGCTGCAAAGGACAGCAAACCTGGAAAATGGTTGCTAATGGTGGCTAAAACATGTTTTTCGAGATCCTGTTCGACAGTTGACCCATGTTGACCCATGTTGACCCCTGGCTTTTGGTGTTGCTCAAAGAATCCACAGCTGCCCTGTGCCAGCCGAACGCCGCAGCTGCCCTGGCTTTTCCAACCCTGTAGCTGGTCGGTGGCGTGTCGCCTCGCTCCGCACTGTGCAACGCTCAGAGACTCAGAGACAACCAACCAACCCTTCAGGTTTTATGTGATGTTCCCATTGCTGTTTCACGTTCCCCAGATTTTTGACATGGATAGACGGTCGAAAGTTGGCAGCGGCAAAACAGTAGAGATTTGGGTCCCATAATTTAATTTTTCATCCCCGACTCAAAGAGCTCATCCGCAAGCATTTTAAATTTGAGCAGTCACAACGAAACAAGCAGCAGCAATCCCTTGCACGAGCATCAAGTTTCTCCTCAGTCCAATGTCCAACCACAGCAACATACAGCAACTATGGGAGCCTATAATAGGCCACCGAACATCTCTCATATCTCTGCTGGAATCGTTTCTGTATCAGATGGTACGTTTGCCAGACAAGACACAGCAGTTCCTAGATACTCAAATTGACGACTCGACCCTTTGTGCTTTGTTATAGGGGCGTCCGGGTCAAACAACCTGACCCTGCAGAGGAGTGAGGGTTGACTTCTAGTTGTGCGTCAGTGATGGTTTGCTGACAGTGTCGTTGTTGTCGTATGTTGTCGTCATCATCATCGAGAGTTGTAGTATGAGCACCCCAGATTGCACAAACCCAGTCGAATCTCCACAGAGGGTCCCTTGGTCGTCTTGCCTAGAAACAAGCCATCATGGCACAGAAGAAGGAACATCTTAGAATTTGCACTTTGGGTATCTTTGCGGATGCTGACCTCAAAGAAGCGGCACATTTTTTGAGTTCAGTGTTTCTGGCCACTATCAATTTAAGAAGCAGCTAGCATGTGGAGTTTTCCAAGACTGTCATGTCGTAGCATCCAGCATCACCATCATGTCCTGCATTGCACATGTCTTACCCGTAGTTAATAAGGTCAAAAGAGTATGTTTACCATTTCCTCCGTTTTCCTTGTCAACTACATAATAGCAACGTATCTGTGGAAAAGTGAATCCAATCACGCGTGCCACGTGAAGTTGTTGAGACCAAAAGAAGATGCTTGACCACAGTACCATTAGGAGTTTCTGTTGCAAGTTTCATTATTTTTAGTAAATCCGTGTCCCCGTGTCGCCAAGGCAAACCGTAAAGGATGGTTCTCTGTTCACCTTCACCTTATTGACATGACCATGCAGCATCCCTGACACAAAAAAAAACGTTCAGATGCGTCAGGTGGAGCATCCAGGCTTTTCTGAGTAGTGCTGCGAAATGCTGCGAGTTAATGTTTGCTAAACAGCTGTCTATTGCTTTTGTGGTTTCTGCCTTCGTTGCTCGTGATATAGTCTCTTGCATGTGAACGGACTCATTGGTCTCACGGATTCGTTTCGCACCACAGCAGCTGGCGCTTCCGTTCTTCCCCAACGTTTGTCTTATGAATTTGACAGTCAGTGTCAGTCTGTGTTCTTAGTTTTTTTCATGTTTTTTCTAGTTGGTTCAATTCTTTCAAGAATTCGATGCCATGCCAAAGCTGCGACATGGAAAACAGGCCGCATTTGACCGCCAGAGCCTGGGCAAAGCCCAGGCGAGCGCTGGCTGTTTCCCACTACTTTATCTCAATTCGCAGCCTTGCTGGAGGGGAAAAGGTATTGTTAGCTTTGGCGAGTGCAGGACAATTGGACAACAATTGGCTGATTTTGTTCGGATTCTGGATGAGACTTCTTCAGTGCGGTTCTGGATGATTCAAGACACGATTTATCAAAGTTAGGAGACCAGGTCAGGTGAAGGATTGGCACCTTGGACCAGAATCAAAAACCTGTTTTTTGATGGGGAAAAACCAGAGATGGGCACACGACATCATGATCCCAGCTGTTGGCAAGGTGAATGTAAACCACAGTTTCCATGTATACCCTTGTGAAGTCAAATTTGATTGGATGAGGATAAGGACCAAAATGGCATCAGGTTTTTCTTTCACGGGTGCTTCGCATGAGTTGACTTGCAGAAACTTGGCTCCCAAGGGACGGTTTGCAAAAACAGTTCAACATGGAGACCAAAACCAACGAGTATAGCCTCACATTCACAACTGCGTTTGGGGCCTTGAAATTGAAGGATGTTCAATGTGCATGCCCAATGTGCACCTCAAAAAGTGTGAGAAAACATCACAGATCATCACGAGTTGGTACGATCGGCGCGTTGCCACGCATTGGGATCGTGCAGCTGATTTGCAGGCCTGACATAGCCCGAACCGATCTGGAAGATAGTTATCCAAAGTGGATGCACATGTTTCCACAGCGTGATTTTTTCTATGGTGTTTGATGTTTGCCTCATTTGACAATTCCATAAATGATCGATAGCGGACAACATGCATTCTATTCAAAGTCAGAAGACTTGGGAGGATCTCAGCCCATGCTTCCAGCCGTGAAGCCTTCGACAGATGGATCTTCGTTAGATCCAACCTAAAAATACAATAAAATACCAGCTGTTTTTCTGCAGCTTGCAAACTGCAAACTTCTACACTTTCATTACAGTTTTCAATGTTCTTTCTGTGGGTGACCGGCCCAGACCTGATGACCCTCACCCGTTCTTCGCATGGGGAACTTCAGGTGCGAGCCGGAGATGGAGCCAACTGAGGCTATTTCAACGGGGCAGTGGCTGCTGAGCATCAAGGGATTCTCTAGGGGATTCTCTAGGCTCTGTAAAGAGAGGTGCTGAACAAATCAGGTCCCTTTCAACTGAAGCTTTTCACTTGCCTATGTCATATGTCATTCACCCGATGTTCTTCTTTGATCTTCTTTGCACAGGGTTCTTTGGATAAAAGAGAGATCGGTGCTGTACACATGTCAATGCACTCCTATAGTTTTGCTTTGAGTTGCTTGATTTTGCTGGTCTCCTGTTGCCAGATTTTGTAGTTTTCTGACATTTGGAGAGGCAAAGGCCTTGAACGACCGCGGCTGGACACACCTTTGCCAGGGACGCCGCCACGAAGCTTTGGAAGATTTCTCTCGAGCCATCGAGCTGGATGAGGAGTTGGCTGAAGCCTACAACAACCGCAGCATCGCTCGAAGACTCGAAGGTGTTGAAGGTGCTGCAGAGGATGAAGACTTGGCAGATGCCTTGACAATGCACGATCTGGAAGCGCAGATGAAGCTGCGACAGCAGCGGAAGTGGATGTGCATCGGTTTCAATAATCGAGGAGAACCTGAAGGTGAGAAACTTGCGACGGATGCCGATTTCCTGATTTCCTTTGCAAGTTCAGACAGAGATGAAAACAATCGGATCCTCCACGAACTGAAGACTGGAGTCCACTACGATGGGAGTCTTCGCCTCTGCCGTCATGTCGTTAGAATCGGTCTGGAGGATTCACAGTGCGCTTGTTTTGCCTCATGTTCCAGTTTACGGTAAACATAGTATACCTCGCCTTCTTGCATTGCACGTTGTTTGAACAACTCAGGACCGGTGACCTTCTGCACCGACAAGTCACTGGGGATGGGGCTCCACATCAACGAAGCGCAAGAGATGAAACGCTGGAACCCGATTTTTTCGGACTTGGATCAGCCCCGGCAGCCGGGAGAATATCCTCCCTGGTTCAAGCACTACAAAGAGGCCGCCGATGAAACCAGGCACGGACTCCTCATTTTGCAGCTGACAGATTCTTATTTGAAGCATCTCAGCTCAGTTGGACGGATTTTACTGTGCTCTTTGTTGGAGTAGGGAGTAAGTACTTGGGATGTGAAAGGATTCGAATGTGTTTGATGTTGTTTGCTGACTTGTTGAGGTCCAAAGCCTGCCGGTGGGAATTCGGTTACATACGGAAACCCGAGCTTGTGCACGTCTATGTGCCCAGTGGCAACAATTCACCTGGCAGAATCGTCACATGGGAGGAGCTCATGGAAGATGCCAAGCTTTGCAAGCAACTCTTCGGAGAGGCTTTGGGCCGCACGATCCAGGGGAACTTGGATGCAGAAGATGCCTGTACAATGCAAGGCACCTTCACGCAACTTGAGAAGATGGCAAAGACTGCAGAGGAACAGGAACACCAGGCGTGGTGCGAGCTTCCTTTTCGACAGCTGGCTTACAACTTCGCCAGGAACACTTTTGGGGAGGAAAGTGTAGACACCATGTCGAGCGCAGACAACCTGATTGTTGTCTTGGGTCAAACTGGATTTGCAGCCAAAGCCCAACAAATTGGAAAGGATTTGTTGGAGAAAAAGGAGAAGAAATTTGGCAAAGACCACTTAAACGGAGCCATAACTTTGGGAAATCTGGGCAGTGCGCATGGAGACCTGGGTGACTACAGCCAATCAAAAGACCTGCTCGAGCGTGCCCTGAGAATCGAGGAGCAGCACTACGGGAAAGATCATCCCGAAGTAGCCAAGACTTTGGCAAATCTGGGCAATGCCCATGGAAGCTTAGGCGACTCCAGGCAGCAGAAGGACCTGCTCGAGCGTGCCCTGAGAATCCTGGAGCAGCACTGCGGGAAAGATCACCCCGAAGTAGCAGTGACTTTGACAAATCTGGGCAATGCGCATGGAGACCTGGGTGACTACAGGAAGAAGAAGGACCTGCTCGAGCGTGCCCTGAGAATCAACGAGCAGCACTACGGGAAAGAACATCCCGAAGTAGCAGTGACTTTGACAAATCTGGGCAGGGCGCATGAAAGCTTAGGCAACTACAGGCAGCAGAAGGACCTGCTCGAGCGTGCCCTGATAATCAAGGAGCAGCACTACGGGAAAGAACATCCCCAATTAGCAGTGACTTTGACAAATCTGGGCAATGCGCATGGAAGCTTAGGCGACTCCAGGCAGAAGAAGGACCTGCTCGAGCGTGCCCTGAGAATCGAGGAGCAGCACTACGACGGGAAAGATCATCCCGAAGTAGCAATGATTTTGGCAAATCTGGGCAATGCGCATGGAAGCCTGGGCGACTACAGACAGAACAAGGACCTGCTCGAGCGTGCCCTGACAATCCTGGAGCAGCACTACGGAAAAGATCATCCCGAAGTAGCAATGACTTTGACAAATCTGAGCAATGCGCATGGATACCTGGGCAACTACAGCCAGCAGAAGGACCTGCTCGAGCGTGCCCTGAGGATCCTGGAGCAGCACTACGGAAAAGATCATCCCGTAGTAGCGATGACTGTGTTCAATCTCAGCGTAGCTCATGATTCTCTGGGAAACCTTTGCCGAGCAAAGGAGTTGGCGGAGGGTGCTGTCAAGATCTTCGTGCAGCATGGCAGCCCCTATGCAGAGCAAGCTCAGCTTTGCCTGGCAGATATGGAGATGAAGATGATGCCCTCAGCGAGGCCCTCAGTGAGGCCCTCAGTGAGGCCCTCAGTGCTGAGGGGCCTCGTGGAAGCGGTCCGAAGATCCCCCCAGGAGCCACAACCGGGGAAACTGTAATTGGGCAGAATCTTTAAGGCAGGGTGGGAGATTTTAAACAGGTCTACCCAGGCAGCCTTCAAGTGTGAACAACCTGAAACGGTATAATACTATAATATATGTTGGGTCTGGCCCATTGTCTGTAACAGCTTTCACAAGCTAGAGCACGATTTTTGCACGGAGGGGAGCACCAACGAGCACGATCGAGAGCACGATTTTTTGCACGCAGAGGAACTCCAAAAAAGCACGATCCAGACCACGACTTTCTGCGCGAAGGAGAACAATTTTCACGGAGCCCACGCCAAAAAGCACGAGCTAGAGCACGATTTTTGCACGGACGGAGGGGAACACCAAAACAGCACGGTTTAGAGCACAATTTTTGCACGAAAGAAAATGGGAATAATGAGTGAATTTCCTTGCGCTCCTTTTGAAGAGGTTTTCATAGGAAATCCATTTTCCGACTGTTACAGAGGTTAGGCTACACCCAAAATATTCGTATAATATTGACGTTCTTCTGCTGAATCTTGCCAATACAGATTGTCTATCTCTCTCTCTCTCTCTCTCTTTGGTTTTGACATGGATACCTTAAGCGTAGAGAACGGGCACATCTGTTTTTTGATTCCGTAAGCTTTTGCAACGCATGCAGCATTGCGCCTACAACATCTCAAACTTAATGTCCATTCAAGGAGCCACTTCAGAACGCTTCCAGAGGTTAGAGTCAGAGATGTTTCCAGACCTATATTTCCTCCCTTCTCCTCTCTTTTCTTCTCCTCTCTTTTCTTCTCTCCTCTGCTCTCCTCTGATCTCCTTTCAGTCTTGCAACAAGTCAAGTTCAGTAAATGTGCAAAGCAACAAATCCAAATCCTTTGATGAATGCTACCTGCCTGGGTCGTGCCCGCCCCATCACTGCACAATGACCCACCAGCATGAAAGCACTCTGCAACTTCAGAATGCATAGCTTGGCGCTTTATTTGGCATGTTTTAGTAAGACATATTTTTTTTGTGGGCAGCTTTGGAGACGATTGCGCAGAGTCAAATATGCAAACTGGCCAGGACGACGAAGATTTGCAGAACGCTTTGGCTCTTTCGTTAGAACCCGAGGACTGACGTCTGCAGAGCCGAACATGCACAGTGGCCAGGAGGATGAAGATTTGCAGAAAGCCTTGGCTTTTTGGTAGATCGCTGTACGTCTGGGTGGAAGATTTCAATCGGGTGAAGCCAGGCAGTCATGGAGTGTGAACAATCCAAAAAGTAATAAGTTCGGTTTGGCGCTCCTCTGCTTAGTCTTGCTGATACCGACTCTCTCTCTCTCTCTCTCCGATTCGATTTTTCAGACAGAGACTTTTGTGTTTTTGTTTTGCGTAAGTAATGGACACATTTGCATTGTCTTGTGGTAAATGTTTGCACCGCATGCGGCGTTGCGCCTACAACATCTGAAGCGTGTTCATGTAAGGGGCCACTTCAGAACGCTTTCAGAGGCCAGGGATGTTTCCACATCCTCTCCTCTTCTCTTCTCTCCTTTCAGTCTTGCAGCACTAGCTGTGCACCAGCACTACTCAACGATCCACCAGCGGAAATGAAAGCACTCTGCAATATCTCACAGCGCACAGTTTGGCACTTCATTTGGCATGTCTACAGTAAAAAAAAAATATAGTAAAACAAAACATTATTGTGGGCAGCTCTGGAGATGAGCAGAGTCAAACATGCAAAGCGGCAAGGACGACGAAGATTTGCAGAAAGCTTTGGCTCTTTCGTTGGAACCATTGGAGGACCGCACTGGCGCAGAGTTGGGATCACTTCTGACATGGTACAAGAAAGTGTTCCGCCATGGAAGCGCGCAATTCACTATCCTTAGGAGCTGCTGGCCCCAGGCCACTTGTATATAGTTTCCCGGCTTTCTGCCTCGCTTGGGGACATTTCAACCATCTTAAACCCTCTTAAACTCTTTTGCAGCATTCTGGAGTGTCTTGAAGGGGTTTTTTAAGATTCTTCCAGCACTGGGGCGCTGGATTTTGGTTCCACATGCTGAGCACGTGAGTCTCTGAGAGAGCGGATGCAAGCCTTACTATAGGACTCTAAGATATATTCTCTATTCTTAAGCAAGATCCTCTTTTCTCGGCTTTACAGCCTGATACAGGAGCATATTTTTAAAACACTTTGACATGAATCTCGACAGTTCTGGCTGTGGAAATCACCAGTTTGGATGCACCTTTGTTTTCCGTCCTTTGGCAACTGGGGCGACCGGTTAACCACGCCTTTGAACTGAACGCCCACTCAGTATCTCTAAGCAAACCCCGTGCACCCCGTGCACCCATCAGCCTAGCCACTGCGGAACCATTTCAGAGTCTTGATCTGGATCACATCATCCTGATCGAATTGCGCAGAGTTTTGTTGGGGGAAGGTATGCGACACATACCAGACATTTGGTTGAGAGATGCAGGATGTTGAGGATCCAGAACTTCGAGAAGCTCTGGCACTTTCCATGTCGCCCCTGCACGCAGGTGTGGGCCACAGTGTGAACCCTGATTGAGTTTGAAGATCGAAGTGCAATCGACTTCGCGTGACGGTGGTGGAAGTGATCTCTGAATTTGAGCTGTCGTGTTCTGTTGTGACTCTTATGCTAGTCCACTCTTGGTTTTTTCCATTTGTTTCGGAGAATTGGTTTTCTGGCTGAATTCTGAGTAAACACCAATGGTTGATTGAGAAGACCATGGTCAGGTGCAGCTGATGTCTTTGCACAGATAGTTTTATGGGGAGGTGTTCAACTTTATGTGACAGACTTTGTGTCCGGTCCAACATGCAACCAGGCTCCTAGAATCTCCTAGAAGAGCTCCACTCTGAGGCCCGTTTTCAGTGCCTATCTTAGCTGTGCCAGGAGGCGCACAACTTGTCACATTCAATCGGGCAATTTGGGCCATTGCCAGATCTCAAAGGGATCTTGGATGATCTTGGAAAAGATCAGCACCTGCAACATCCTGCAAGACAATTTAGAGAACCTGTATATGAAAGAATGATGGGTTCTTTCGACCTTTCTGGGAGTGCAGCAAAGTTTGCAGATGCTGAAATAGATTCAGTAGCAATTTGGATGTCTCCAGGCTGTGAGCCAAGTTCAGTACTGGTTTTTCCCGCAGTCTTCCGAGACACTGGCGTTTTTTTTGCGTAGTTGACCCTCACTGGGTCAACGTTCAACGACCTTTTGGGGTCGCCACTCGATTATGGCCAGGTGGCATGAGGTTTTGAGATTGTGCCAGAAAAGTCATACGTCATACGCCATGAGGTGTAAATGACATTCCTCCAGTTGTGCCACTTCGCCAAAGCGGTAGTTGTTAGGTCTCTCCCAGACCAAGGGGCTGGGAAGAGTCAGATTCACAGTGATTCTGCAGACATTTTGCCTGAAAAGGCGCCTGAACCCATGAGTCAAAATTCAAGACTATACTGATACTTTCAGTCCAAATGGTGGATGAACATCCCAGTGAGAAGCATGCCAGACATTGCCTATATAACAATTTCGCAGTGCTCATTGGGCTTCAAAAATAAACCCCTGCCATTTCCGAAGTTCATTTACCAAATCCAGTTTGTCCTACACCCAAAGGATAGCTGGTGAACTGGCATATATGTTGCACAGAGATAGGCCCATCCGCAGCATTGGCTGTCCAATCGTGTGACGGGTCGGTGTCGAGTCGCAGTTCTGTTGCTTCTCAGAGTGCCTTGGCAAATTCCAAGCTGTTGAGCTTTGGGATCGGGTTTCTTAAGCTTTGAAAATGGGATTGTGTAATTTGACCTCTGAAGGTAAAATTGTGAACATGACAAAATGATATAACATGATGTAACATGAACTTGACTTATATATAGGCATTTATAGACAGAATATATTGGCGAAATAATGCAAAATAGGCACATTACCTAGCGCTTTGGTGCAGAGTTGCAGCCTGTTTGCCGAGAACAGGACGTTGAGCTGAGCTCGATCGTCCTTGAACTTTCAAGTCATGACGTTTGGAACCTGTGAGTCCCCAAAAGACAGTCTTCTTGTTCTTGTTGGATCATTGCTGTTATGGGCCCAAATTTCGGTGTGAAAATCATGCGTTTTGGCATCCTGCCCATCAAAAAACACTCCTCAACTCATGCCCATGTCAGGTCCGTTTTCATCCATGTGGGAGAAGGAGCTTAAAATGCCACCTTTAAAACGAAGGCTACCCCTTGCTGCAATGCTTCCATTTTGGTAAAACTGATCATGATGTTTGTGAATCTGAAGCTGAAGGATGATGAAAAAGAGTTCAACTAAGCCACAGACTGGGCCCAATTCTTTTCCAAATCCTAAGTAAACCTTCCAATTTTACAGCCAACATGTTTTTTTCCTACCAAAATCACATGAAAATCATGGAACCGGCAGATACTCCGCTGGTCCCCCCTGAGGATGTCCGAAAAAGAGCTCACCAAGGGCGCCAAGAGGATCCTGGACGATACCGAAGAGTCCGGGACCCGGAGATGGGGTGAGTTCACCATCAAACATGGAATTCACCATGAAGAATGGGTTTCAACACTTGTACTTAGACTTGTAGTTGATAGTTGGGACTTAAATCGAGCTTAGCATGTCTTATCCGCATGGATGGTTTCAATCGGTTGGGTTGAAAGCAGCCACAAACTCAACCAGTTTTAGCAGCTGACAGAGGGGTTGGACCAGCCAAGATGGGGATACTTCGTGATGCCAAGAATTGGGAACACACCTTGAAGAATTTGGCTTTAAGCAGCTGAAGACTCTATGATCATTGTATGATTTGGGAGCTAGGGATATGGGTGTCACCAGGTTTTTTTTTTTTGGCCACAGCCTTATGACCACTGTGATTGGTACGGCGATCAGCATGGGGCTGATTAGGTGCTACCTGCAACAACCATCAACCATCAGCCACTCAGAACCACAATCCTTCTTGGTATTCATGATCTGATTCTGACCAACTTTTTCATCATCATGCCAGTGATCTGAACAGCTGACGCCAGGAACACTTGTGGCTTCGCATCCTGCTTCATCTGGGATCAAGATGGTCCTGCCGCCCAGTTGAGACCATTTCAAGATAATTTGTCAAGGGTTGCTCGGATGTTCACTAACCCGTGAACCTGGAACCATCCTTTGCAAGCTTTGTTTATCCCCAAGATATCCCGGGTGCATCCAGTCGCAACGATTCTGTTTGAGATCCAGTTTTTGTGGATTGGCATTTTCTTTCTGTCAAAATATCCGGGGAACCTCAGGGATCAGCTGAGCTCCGGATTGCTTTTTTTCCACTGATTTGGATGGGGCCCCTGTACGCAGGACCAAGCCTTGCCTAGGAGGTTGACAATGAAGATATTTTCTGAGTAGACTGACCGAGCCATATATGGCATGGAGGAAGAATTGATGTCCCATTGAACATCAATATCTGTATCTGCACGGAATTTGAAGTTACTGTAGCCATGTCTTGACTTGGGTGTATTTTTCAGAGTTCCACCTTGTCAGTGTGTGACGTTTCAGGGGTGCAATAGGGGCCAATGTAGAAAGAAAGCTTTGTGCAGTCCTTTTTCTATGTATTTTGTCACACGGAAAGAAAGCTTTGTGCAGTCCTTTTTTCACACGGAAGGAAATGACTTACCATTATTGGCAAAGGGTTGAACCCACGAATGACTTCCCAGCAACCCAATTTATGGCGCAATTGATTTGCGTATTTCCACGTGGTGTCTTCCTTTCGGATCTTGCCAACAAGAACCATCAGCTTGTTTTTTGTAGCGGTAACCGAGTGTACCTGCGCCTTTAGATTTTGAAGTCTAGACAGCAGCGGTGCGCCTCACTATGCTTCACTGTTCACCTTCACCTGACATGACCATGCAGCATCCCTGACACAAAAAAAAAACCTTCAGAGGCGTCAGGTACATGGAGCATCCAGGCTTTTCTGAGGCTGCGAAATGCTGCGAATTAATATTTGCTAAACTGTGTTTGTCTTTACTTCCGTGGTTTCTGCCTTCGTTGCTCGTGATATAGTCTCTTTGCAGATCATGTGAACGGACTCATTGGTCTCACGGATTGGTTTCGCACCACAGCAGCTGATTCTTCCGTTCTTCCCCAACGTTTGTCTTATGAATTTGACAGTCAGTGTCAGTCTGTGTTCTCAGTTGTTTCATGTTTCTTCTAGTTGGTTCAATTCTTTCAAGAATTCGATGCCATGCCAAAGCTGCGACATGGAAGACAGGCCGCATTTGACCGCCAGAGCCTGGGCAAAGCCCAGGCGCAGCACTGGCTGTTTCCCGTCTCAAGTCGCAGCCTTGCTGAAGCAGGCGCAAAAACATTGTTAGCGCAGGCGAGTGCAGCACAATTGGACAAGTGGCTGATGATGTAAATGATCAAACACCCGTTTTTTGATGGGGAAAAATTAGAGATGGGCACATGAAATCATGATCCCAGCTGTTGGCAAGGTGAATGTAAACCATAGTTTCCACGCATATCCTTGTGAAGTCAAATTTGATTGGATGAGGACAAGGGCCAAAATGGCATCAGGTTTTTCTTTCACGCTGGCGGCTTCTCATGAGTTGACTTGCAGAAACTTGGCTCCCAAGGGTCGGTTTGCAAAACAGTTCAACATGGAGACCAAAACCAACGAGTATAGCCTCACATTCACAACCGCGTTTGGGGCATCGTCCTTGCAATTGAAGGATGTTCAATGTGCATGCCCAATGTGCACCTCAAAAAGTGTAAGAAAACATCACAGATCTTCACGAGTTGGTACGATCGGCGCATTGCCAAGCACATTGGGATCGTGGTAGCTGATTTGCAGGCCTGGCATACCCCGAACCGATCTGGAAGATTATCCAAAGTGGATGCACATGTTTCCACACCGTGTTTTCTCTATGGTGATGGTGTTCGATGTTTGCCTCATTTGACAATTCAATCAATGATCTATGGATAGCGGACAAGACGAATGCATTCTATTCAAAGTCAGAAGACTTGGGAGGACCTCATCCCATGCTTCCAGCCGTGAAGCCTTCGTTTGACAGATGGTTTTTCTCACCCTCCCTGCAAACGACTGCACTGTTGCAGCTTGCAAACTTCTACACTTTACAGTTTTCAATGTTCTTTCTGGGGGGTGACCAGCCCAGACCTGACGACCCTCACCCGTTCTTCGCATGGGGAACTTCAGGTGCGAGCCGGAGATGGAGCCAACTGAGGCTATTTCAACGGGGCAATGGCGGCTGAGCATCAAGGGATTCTCTAAAAAATTCTCTAGGCTCTGTAAAGAGAGGTGCTGAACAAATCAGGTTCTTTTCAACTGAAGCTTTTCACTTGCCTATGTCTATGTCATTCACGTCATTCACACGATGTTCTTCTTTGCACAGGGTTCTGTTCTCTGGACAAAGGAGAGATCGGTGCCGTACACATGTCAATGCGCTCCTAGTTTTGCCTTGAGTTGCTTGGTTTGGTGGATCTCCTGTTGCCAGATTTTGTAGTTTTCTGACATTTGGAGAGGCAAAGGCCTTGAACCGCCGCGGCTGGGAGCAGCTTTGCCAGGGACGGCACCACGAAGCTTTGGAAGATTTTTCTCGAGCCATCGAGCTGGATGAGGAGTTGGCTGAGGCTTACAACAACCGCGGCATCGCTCGAAGACTCGAAGGCGTTGAAGGTGCTGCAGAGGATGAAGACTTGGCAGATGCCTTGACAATGCACGATCTGGAAGCTCACATGCGGCTGCGACAGCAGCGGAAGTGGATGTGCGTCGGTTTCAATACTCGAGGAGAACCTGAATGTGAGAAAGCTGCCGCGGATGCCGATTTCCTGATTTCCTTTGCAAGTCCAGACAGAGATGAAAACAATCGGATCCTGCGTGAGCTGAAGACGGGAGTCAACTATGGGCACTCACGATCCTCCAGCCGTCCGGCCAGCCCAGCGGATCCGGATCAGCGGATCAGCGGATAAACGGATCATCGGATCATCGGACCAGCGGATCAGCGGATCAGCGCGGATCAACGGATCAGCGGATCAGATCAACGGATCAGATCAACGGATCAGATTAGCGGATCAGCGGATCAGCGGATCAGCGGATCAGCAGATCAGCAGATCAGCGGATCAGCGGATCAACGGATCAGCGGATCAGCGGACCAGCGGATCAGCGGATCAGCGGATCAGCGGATCAGCGGATCAGCGGATCAGCGGATCAGCGGATCAGCGGATCAGCGGACCAGCGGATCAGCGGATCAGCGGATCAGCGGACCCAGCGGATCAGCGGATCAGCGGATCAGCGGATCAGCGGATCAGCGGATCAGCGGATCAGCGGACCAGCGGATCAGCGGATCAGCGGACCAGCGGACCAGCGGACCAGCGGATCAGCGGATCAGCGGATCAGCGGATTAGCAGTGGATCAGCGGCTCAGCAGCGGATCAGCGGACCGAACCAAGAGATCCACGGGATTCTGCAAAGTGCTATCTTTTTGTACTTGTCAACTGCTTTCCACACACGCGCCTGCCTTCCGCTCATTGCAGGTTCATTCTCCAAGAAAGTGTACCTTTGACAAGTTAGTGCATGTCATCAGCAACATCATGATTTACGTCATGTATGTCCTTCTGGCAGCCATCCTCCACATTGTCTGACGTTTGGGATCTGTTGTTTGAGGAACCTTATCCTACTCTGAGCGTTGTCATTCAGGCGGGCAACCCTCGAGGAGGGCTACAATTCTCACCGCAACAATACATGTGCATGCATGCCATCAGCAACATATCATGTATGTCCTTCTGGCAGCAATCCTCCACATTGTCTGATGTTTGGATTTGAGGAACCTTATCCTACTCTGAGCGTTGTCATTCAATGTTGTTTGTGCGGCCTGAAGTCATCCCTTCCTCGTCGATGTCTGGTTTGGCAATTTCACCAAGGCGGGCAATCTTCCAGTGGTGCGGAGGAGGCTACAAGTCTCACCGCAATACAATGACATGCGCAAGCATGCGCAGCACTTTTGGTGCGACCATTGCAGGCTTACTTGTCAAGGGATTGTATTAGCTTCACACGGCAATGAAATGTGCTTCTAGCAGCCAGATTGTCCAAAGTTGTGAGATTTGGTGTTATACCCTACTCTGAACATTGTCATTCCCCACTGCCTGTGCGGCCTGAGGTCATCACATCCTCGTCGACTTTTGGTCCCTTTGTTCTTTGGAAATTTCACGAAGGCGGGCAATTCTGCTGCTGCTGCGCAGGGCTGCAATTTTCAGAGCAACAGAGTCACCGCACAAGCATGTGCAGCATTTTTGATGCAATCGCAGCAGGCTTACTTTTCAAGGGACTGCGGCTTCATATGGCAATGACGAATCGCGAATTCTTTTGCAAATAATATCTCATGAGTCACGAGTGTGCTTCTGCCAGCCATCTTGGACATGACCCACTCAAAACTTGTTAAGACAGTCAATCGCAAGACGCATCCTCAAAATTGTCCGTGCCAATCATGGCGGCTGGGTCGACTCATGCTGCGCTTGCGGCGATCATTCGAGAAGCCGACCGGTAGATTGCCTGGCGGCGGAATTGTCTCCGCTCTTTGAAAATCTTGCAGCCGTGTACGGAAGAGAAAGTGACCTCAAGGAGTCAGTTGCTACCTTTCCCTACACATTGCCCGGCTTGTCAGAATCGGCTTGCTGAATGCAGAACCTCGGCAGCTGCTGCAATCATAGTCGACCTGGCTGGCATTGTGGAAAAGCAGCATGTCCAATTACGCTGCAGGCGTCCATCCTGCCCTGACTTTGGGGTGCTGTATTGGCACAACCGCAGTGTGCGTGAAGGGCGGCACGTTTTTCATGGAAAGCTACCAGGCTTCCGTTGCTTCATGCCATCTTCTGTTTTTGGCTTTAGTGTGTGCCGTGGCTTCAGCAGTTCCATGCTCGCCTGGTCAGGCAGCACGCGTCATTCACAGCGAAGCGGATGTGCTCACTGCGCAGGCTGCCCGCCTACATCTGCTCATCAGCCAAGGTTGGTTTACATGGCGCCTTCTCACAAGGGCACACCTGTCTGAGATGGACTTTTTGAAGCCTTTGGAAGACATGGTGGCCCTTTTCTTGCCGCAGTTGCAACACACATTTGGACAGAATATTTTGCAGGTAGCACAAGCAGCAGGCATGCGCTGCGATGTGGTGGTCCTCGATGGCAATGCCAAGAATCGGAGGGCTGTGTGTGCAGCAGCTTTGGCCGGTTCCTCCCATTCTGAGCATCTCCCGCGCACCTTGCGCCACACCTGCACCAGGAAGCCGGCCTTCCGCCATGCTTTTTGCCGTTGGCATTGCGAAGGACCTACGGACGGAGAAGATCACCTTCAGGTGCAAGGGCTGGGTCATTGTCATTTGTGTTGCTTTCTTCTGGCTGAAAGAATGTGCCCTTGTCTTAGACCCCAACTTCAGGATGTGGAGATTGTGCACCACAAGGTGGTCAATGATGGGCAGCAGCTTATGGTTTTGCTGAAAGAGACCATGGAGCCTCAGAGAGAGGCCTGGGTTTCGGATGCATGTGTCCCTGCAGCAGTTTTGTCGAAATATGTGCGACAAGTAGGCCAAGAAAAGCTCAAGCCTCGCAAGCGGTCACATGAGGATCAGTCGCAAAGCCTTGGCGAAGCATCTTCTCCATTGCCATCAGCTTCTCGGCCTGCGGGGACAAACAGTCCTGCAGACCTGCAGCAGCTCTCAGACTCCACAGACCTCATGTCGGTCACCTGTTCTACACACAAAGAAAGCACAGCTGCCCAAAAGCAGCTTAAAAAGTCTGCCGGAATGCTGTGCGCGTGTTTGTCGGACGGTGTAATCTTGCACATGCAAGAGATCTATGGCTGCGAATCTCTAAGCCAGCGATACGTCTGCGTTGCCGCCGTCAAGGCATTGATGCCGTCCCTCTGTGTAGTCGTGCATGATGACGCTTGTCACTTGCACAAATATGCGGCCCGAAGGCAAAGGACAGAAGGGTTGCATGTCTGTTGCTGCGGGATATAAATAAATAAATAAATATATATATATATTGTAACTATTGGACCTGGGGCAATCAATAGCATGCTCTGGAAGCAAACCTTGAAACCAAACCTTCAGCCCGAACCAGATATGTGTCGGAGTTCAATGAACTAGATTGGCCCTGCAGGATTCAGCAGCTGCCGCTGGCATAGTTCCGCCACAGCTGACCTACGTATGTGACAAGTTTCACATGGCAGGACACACAGACGCCTGGTGCAGGAAGACTTGTGATCCGGACCTGCCGGAACATGCTTCTGTTCTGAAAGGGATTAGAACATCAGTGTGCGAGTTTACATTCACTTGGCTCAGCAAGTATAAGCACCAAACAAAGCACATGAATGAGTATGGCTTCAAATTCTTCCTCTTGGACATGGCGTGGAGCCACAACGAAATCATTTTGCAAGGAGGTTATCGGCCAGAGGAAGTGGCAGGATCACTTAGTGCTGAACGCGCTAGAAAAAACATTGTGGTCTGATCTTGCAAGTGCCGGGCTGCATGCTGTTAAGTCTGCATCCCAGTCGTTCGATCATGTCCCTGCGCATGTGCAAATGTGCTTGTCCATCCTACTTGCTAACTATGCTGCAGTATGCTGCAGTGTTTTTCGCTCATCACAGGTGCAGAATCTTGTAGTGGTAAGTTCCACCGCCATGTCTGAAACCCATGAAGATAGACAGTACATACCGGCCATGAAGCTCATGTGGGATGAAGTAGACGCACGCTTTGATCCAAAGTATGTGCTTGGGGAAGCTGGCCATCGCTTCTGCCAAACATATTCCGTGAGAGCTGCCCATCCAGAATTTCCTTACGCCCTGCATTGCTTGTCAATGATGTGTGCTCTGGTCAATGGGGCTCGTGTTGCTGTCTTTCCCACATCCCCATCGCCTCTGACTCTTGTGGCCATCAATGTGAACTATGCCCAAACGAGAAAATCGTCCATGACAGGCCACGCAGAAACCCTGGGGCAAGTCATCCTGAAGGCAGTGGAATCAAGATTGGAAGAGAGCTTGCCAGAGCCGGCAGTGCAAGATGGATTGCCAGGTGGGCCTTCCGGAGAGCTTCGAAGGCCGGGCTTATACATTTTTCGTCGATGAGATGTTTGACCCTTGTAATGCTTTAACTTTGTGTAAAAGCACGGCAAATTAAATGACAGTTTGCATGACCACTTTTTTGTGTCCTTGCCCACTTTCAGCGCAGGTATTTGCGGCCAAAAATACTTTTAGCTACAGTGGCCAGCTCCATGCCAGAAGAATGGTTTCATCGTTGCTCCGGAGACTGGGACCAAGTCCGGAACGCGGACAAGTTGCCAGGTGACTTCTTGGGCCGGTGTTGGTACGCCTTACTCAGCTTACTCGGCTGCTCAGTCTTGGGCTGATCCCAGCACATCTTCCAAGGACAAGGCAAAACCGAAGGTGAACCCGTACCAGAGCGCTTTCAACAAGCTGCTGCAATTCGGCTCCAGCGTCAGAGCCACGAAAACAGCAGGCAGCTACGGTGAAAGGCCTGACCGGACAATAAGCATGGGAATCACCTGCAACATGCACCCGGCGCAGTACATCCCAATGGAAAGGGGCGAAAAAGTTCCTCGTTGCCACTGGCCGACCGGTACAACCTCATGAAGAGCTCCCCCTGATTTTTGCGCCCCTGAAGGATGGGGCTCAAAAGTTGACATTGATTGAAGCAAGGGCGTTTGTAGCTGCCACTCAACGCAATACACGTCTCATCAAAAGTCTTGCATTTTCTTGCTTTTCTGGGACGAATATCGCTCCGTTGAATGCACAGGAGCTTCGCGGCACCACTGGGTCCCCCTCACTCCTGACATTCCTAAGTTGATCGGCGTTGCCAAAGAAGCGGCATCTCCGCTCAGGAATGGCGCGAGGCCGGCTTCGCAGATGCAGGCGTCGTGCAGCTCACGCAAAATGCTGCCTCGGAGTACGTGCCATCAGAAGAGGGATACCCAGTTAGGCTTTTGTATGGCAAGCTCAGCCGGCTCCGTTTCAAGCGTGACCAATCCGCTCCAAACGGCTTTGAGGCAGAGTGGAGAGCAGCCAACCGCAACTTTGCCATTCCTGAGGAATGTTCCATTCATACGGCAGTGGCCCGACTGACGGGATACTTCTCAGAGCCGCGCCAAGTCATCACTCTCACTGCGGAAGCAGAGTCGTGGCACTTGTCCTACCAGGGCGCCATGAATGTTCAGAGCCATGTCGTTCGTGAGTCTGGGGACGTGCAAGCTGGTGCTCGTTTTGGTGCAGCTCCTTGGCAAGTAGGCGTCCTGGCAGCCTTGCTCTTGGTATTCGAGATCTTCGTTGGGGCCCATTCCGTTGAAGCTCTTCAAGCAAAAGCTTTGCAGGTCACTTCTCAGCATTTGCAACGTGCCTACGCTGTTCTCCAGCTCGTCCTCTAGCGGATTCAAACAATTTTTTCCTGTTCATGCGGATATTTTCGCTGCTCTAATAATGCTTGCCAACTTTGGACTTTCGCGTTGAAATTGCAGAACATGACTTTGCCACTCTTGCCTGTAAGGTTCAGAGGTTGAAGCAGATTGCACTCGGGGATGCTGCCACAAGCCCAGACAATGCCCCGCCGCTGGAACAAGAGGCTTCCTTTGATGTGGGCTCTCTACGTGTTCCGTATGATGAACATGCTTTTGCAGCTGCAACGCAGCCGCGGAGACCAGTCGATGAGAGTGAGGATGAGGATGATGAAGGGGACGCGGGAGAAGTTGACATGGAGCCACCCGAAGAGCCTGCTGAACACATGGCCCAGCCGCCCCAGCCACCCCAACCCATGGATACGGAACCCGCAGCTTTGACTCTGCGAGATGTTCGTGCCAGTGATTATGGTTTTGTTGACAATGGACTTTCTGTGGGCCTCCGCAGCCGCCACTTGACCAACAGGGCAATGTTGAAGCAAACGCTTCTGACAGGGAAGCCCAAGGTCACGCGCAAGGAGGCTTGTGACAAGATGCGCAGCTCCCGACAAGCAGGTCGCAAGGCTTTACCCAAGGAAAAGTGGACTGCTGTGATGATGGCAGCTTCCGCGGGGCAGCATCCAAACCTATTGCGCCTGGAAGGTGAGACATTGTGCTTGCATGCGCAGGTCATACCTGACACTTCCGATGGCAAGGTGCGGTACCACAACGATCTCATGAAAGCCTGCGGCCTCACCTTGCGGGAGCTGATCGCAGCCATGAACAAGACAACTGAGGCATCTGAGAAGTCCGAGCAAGACCGCCGTGCAAAACGCACCAGGAATGAGTGACATAGGGCAGCCGTTGTTGTTGTTGTTGTTGTTGTTGTTGTTGTTGTTGATGTTGTTGTTGTTGTTGGTATCGGACGTCAACCTGCTCCTCACAGAAGTGAAGTAGTTAAGACGCCTTTGTTGCCCAGCAGCGGAGCGGTCACTCCACACATGACCGGCGAAACCGGTCAGCAACCCAACCTTAAAATCAAGTCACCAACATGCTGTACTAGGTACAGCGCACAGGCATCGCCAAACCATACTTCCGCCACAGCAGAAGTTGCCTCTCTTCAAGGCGTGGGTACATTAACGGATGGTCTAGCACCATCTGCACTCAATTCGGTGACGGGCCCTCGCCCATCACGCATTGAAGCGAACCACTGGTAGCCAGTGAAAGATGTGCTCAACTGAGGCAAAGAGGCAGCTGCGGTAGACGGCCTGAAGCAGAGCAGCCGTCAAGTGCACGCAGCGTGCCATGCCATGGAAGCGCCTCATCATCCAATAGCAAGAACCGAGCTCACCTGCCTCACACAAGCTGGGCCAAGCGCTCAGCTCCACAAAACTCCCGCCGTATGGCGAGTTGCGGCTGCCACGTCTGCAGCAGCCGCCAACCAAGACATAGGGCAGCCGTTCCGGCAGCGCGGCATGAAGATTATAAAGGGCGAAAATGGAATTGGCGCCAAGAACACAAATGAAGCAATGTAATTTGAATTTCACGCTTCATGTCCAAAAACCCCCTGGCAAGAACGGCATTGTCCTGACCTGGCCAGGCAAGCTCTGGAAGAGTCGGCTGCGCGCTGCTTTGACATGATCTATATAGCTAGGACTGCGCTCGTGGTCATGATTGCTTCGTGACAGCAAGTACTATAGGCGCAGTGGGGCTCGCATGGCTCCCTGCGTGCCAAATCACATATCACGGCCTTTGGCCGCACAAAAGCTTCTATATAGTCTTTTACTAACTGATCAACAGAGCGGGCCAGCGGATCAGCGGACGAGCGGATCAGCGGATCAGCGGACCAGCGGATCAGCGGATCAGCGGACCAGCGGATCAGCGGATCAGCGGATCAGCGGATCAGTGGACCAGCGGATCAGCGGATCAGCGGATCAGCGGATCAACGGATCAGCGGATCAGCGGATCAGCGGATCAGCGGATCAGCGGATCAGCGGACCAGCGGATCAGCGGACCAGCGGATCAGCGGCGGTCCAGCGGATCAGCGGATCAGACAACCCCACGATCATAAGTCACTATGGGAGTCTTCGCCTCTTGCCGTCATGTCGTTGGAATCGGTCCGGAGGATTCACAGTCTTGCGCTTGTTTTGCCTCATGTTCCAGTTTACAGTAAACATAGTATACCTTCTTGCATTGCACGAATCGTTGTTTGAACAACTCAGGACCGGTGACCTTCTGCACCGACAAGTCACTGGGGATGGGGCTCCACATCGAAGTGCAAGAGATGAGACGCTGGAACCCGATTTTCTCGGACCTGGATCAGGACCTGGATCAGCCCCGGCAGCCGGGAGAATTTCCTCCCTGGTTCAAGCACTACAAAAAGGCCGCAGAAGAAACCAAGCATGGACTCCTCATTTTGCAGCTGACCGATTCATATTTACAGCTTCTGGGTTGGACGGATTTTTTTGTTGGAGTAGGGAGTAAGTACTTGGGATGTGAAAGGATTCGAATGTGTTTGATGTTGTTTGCTGACTTGTTGAGGTCCAAAGCCTGCCGGTGGGAATTCGGTTACATACGGAAACCCGAGTTTGTGCACGTCTATGTGCCCAGTGGCAACAATTCACCTGGCAGAATCGTCAAATGGGAGGAGCTCATGGAAGATATTGAGCTTTGCAAGCAACTCTTCGGAGAGGCTTTGGGCCGCACGTTCCAGGGGAACTTGGATGCAGAAGATCCCACAATTCAAGGCACCTTCATGCAACTTGAGAAGATGGCCGAGACTGCAGAGGAACAGGAACACCAGGCGTGGTGCGAGCTACCTTTTCGGCAATTGGCTTACAACTTTGCCAGGAACACTTTCGGGGAGGAAAGTGCAGACACCATGTCGAGCGCAGACAAGCTGATTGCTGTCTTCCTTCAAACTGGATTTGCAGCCAGGGCCCAACAAATTGGAAAGGATTTGTTGGAGAAAAAGGAGAAGAAATTTGGCAAAGACCACTTAAACGTAGCCATAACTTTGACAAATCTGGGCAGTGCGCATGGAGACCTGGGCAACTACAGGCAGCAGAAGGACCTACTCGAGCGTGCCCTGAGAATCAAAGAGCAGCACTACGGGAAAGAACATCCCGAAGTAGCATTGACTTTGACAAATCTGGGCAATGCGCATGGAAGCTTAGGCGACTCCAGGCAGCAGAAGGACCTGCTCGAGCGTGCCCTGAGAATCCATGAGCAGCACTACGGGAAAGAACATCCCGCAGTAGCCATTACTTTGACAAATCTGGGCAATGCGCATGGAGACCTGGGCGACTCCAGGCAGAAGAAGGACCTGCTCGAGCGTGCTCTGCGAATCAAGGAGCAGCACTACGGGAAAGATCATCCCGAAGTAGCAGTGACTTTGGGAAATCTGGGCAATGCGCATGGAGACCTGGGCAACTACAGCCAACAGAAGGACCTGCTCGAGCGTGCCCTGAGAATCAAGGAGCAGCACTACGGGAAAGATCATCCCGAAGTAGCAGTGACTTTGGGAAATCTGGGCAATGCGCATGGAGACCTGGGCAACTACAGCCAACAGAAGGACCTGCTCGAGCGTGCACTGGTAATCAAGGAGCAGCACTACGGGAAAGATCATCCCGAAGTAGCAGTGACTTTGGGAAATCTGGGCAATGCACATGGAGGCTTGGGCAACTACAGCCAGCAGAAGGACCTGCTCGAGCCTGCCCTGAGAATCCTGGAGCAGCACTACGGAAAAGATCATCGCGAAGTAGCCATTACTTTGACAAATCTGGGCAATGCGCATGGAGACCTGGGCGACTCCAGGCAGCAGAAGGACCTGCTCGAGCGTGCCCTGAGAATCAAGGAGCAGCACTACGGGAAAGATCATCCTGAAGTAGCAGTGACTTTGGTGAATCTGAGCAATGCGCATGAAAGCTTAGGCGACTACAGGCATCAGAAGGACCTCCTCGAGCGTGCCCTGAGAATCGAGGAGGAGCACTACGGGAAGGGTCATCCCGAAGTAGCGATTGTTGTGTTCAATCTCGGCGTAGCTCATGACTCTCTGGGAGATCTTCGCCGAGCAAAGGAGTTGCTGGAGCGTGCTTTCAAGATCTTTGTGAAACACGGCAGCCCCTATGCAGAGCAAGCTCAGCGTTGCCTGGCACAGATGGAGGTGAAGATGACAGTGAGGCCCTCAGTGAGGCCCTCAGTGCTGAGGGGCCTCGTGGAAGCCGCCCGAAGAACCCTCCAGGAGCCACAACCGGGGAAACTGTAATTGGGCAGAATCTTTAAGGCAGGGTGGGAGATTTTAAACAGGTCTACCCAGGCAGCCTTGAAGTGTGAACAACCTGAAAGGGTATAATACTAATTAATATTATAATTAATATATATATAGACGTTCTTCTGCTGAATCTTGCCAATACAGATTGTCTATCTCTCTCTCTCTCCCTCTTTGGTTTTGACATGGATACTTTTTGCGTAGAGAATGGGCATATCTGTTTTTTTGATTCCAAACGCTTCCAGAGGTCAGAGATGGTTCCAGACCTATATTTCCTCCCTTCTCCTCTTTTTTCTTCTCCTCTCCTCTGATCTCCTTTCAGTCTTGCAACAAGTCAGTTTCAGTAAATGTGCAAAGCAACAAATCCAAATCCTTTGATGAATGCTACCTGCCTGGCTGCTCAATGACCCACCAGCCGCCATGAAAGCACTCTGCAACTTCAAAATGCATAGCTTGGCGCTTGTAAGACAGAAGTTTTTTGTGGGCAGCTCTGGAGACGATTGCGCAGAGTCAAACATGCAAACTGGCCAGGACGAAGATTTGCAGAAAGCCTTGGCTCTTTCGTTAGAACCCGTGGAGGACTGACGTCTGCAGAGTCGAACATGCACAGTGGCCAGGACGACGAAGATTTGCAGAAAGCCTTGGCTTTTTGGTAGATCACTGTACGTCTGGGTGGAAGATTTCAATCGGGTGAAGCCAGGCAGTGATGAAGTGTGAACAATCCAAAAAGGTATATAAGTTCGCTGAGTCTTGCTGATACCCTCTCTCTCTCTCTCTATCTCTCTCTCTCTCTCTCTCTCTCCGATTCGATTTTTAAGACAGAGACTTTTGTGTTTTTTTTTGCGTAAGTAATGGACACATTTGCATTGTCTTGTGGTAAATGTTTGCACCGCATGCGGCGTTGCGCCTACAACATCTGAAGCGTGTTCATGTAAGGGGCCACTTCAGAACACTTTCAGAGGCCAGGGATGTTTCGACATCCTCTCCTCTTCTCTTCTCTCCTTTCAGTCTTGCAGCACTAGCTGTGCACCAGCACTACTCAACGATCCACCAGCGGAAATGAAAGCACTCTGCAATATCTCACAGCGCACAGTTTGGCACTTCATTTGGCATGTCTATAGTAAAAATATATATATAGTAAAACAAAACTTTATTGTAGGCAGCTCTGGAGATGATTCTGCAGAGTCAAACATGCAAAGCGGCAAGGACGACGAAGATTTGCAGAAAGCTTTGGCTCTTTCGTTGGAACCATTGGAGGACCGCACTGGCGCAGAGTTGGGCTCACTTCTGACATGGTGCAGGAAAGGTTTCCGCCATGGAAGCGCGCAATTCACTATCCTTAGTCATATGCTGCCGGCCCCAGGCCACTTGCATATAGTTTCCCGGCTTTCTGCCTTGCTTGGGGACACTTCAACCATCTGAAACCCTCTTAAACTCTTTTGCAGCATTCTGGATTTTGGAGTGTCTTGAAGAGTTTATTTAAGATTCTTCCAGCGGTGCTGGGGCGCTAGATTTTGGTTCCACATGCTGGGCATGTGAGAGAGCGGATACAAGCCTTACTATGGGACTCTAGGATATATTCTCTATTATTCTCTATTCTTAAGCAAGATCCTCTTTTCTCGGCTTTACAGCCTGATACAGGAGCATATTTTTAAAACACTTTGACATGATGAATCTCGATGTGGAAATCACATGCACCTTGTTTTCCCATCCTTTGGCAACTGGGGCGACCGGTTAACCACGCCTTTGAACAGAACGCCCACTCAATATCTCCAAGCAAACCCCGTGCACCCATCAGCCTAGACACTGCGGAACCATTTGGGTACGAGTTAAAATACAAGGTATGGATCAAGGCCCCGGACCCACACACGATCCATACCCCCCGATCCATACCTTGATCCATACCCTATGATGCTGCATGATCCATACCCTTGATCCATACCCCAAGAAAGACTGATGCTGGCCTTAATGCTGCTTTTTATCCTAATACTGCTTCTGGTCCTCGTACTGCTACTCCCGTTGCTACTACTGTTGCTACTACCGGTGCTACTACTGCTGCCTCCGCTGCCTCCTCCCTCTGCTGCCTCCGTGCTGCTGCTGCTGCTGCTGCTGCTGCTGCCACTACTAGTCGTTTTCCTCCCAGGAGCTGCTACTACTGCTGTCGCTTTTGCGCTGTTCCTGCTGGTCCTGCTCCCGCTGCTGGTGCTGGTTCACTTCCTCCGTATGCTTCTGGTAGTTGGGCAAATGCAACTAGTTGACTAGCTACTAGCAATATTGCAAGTGCACCTTGGAGGCTAGTAAGGGTCGGCAAAATCTGAACAACAACAACAACAACACCAGCAGCAGCAGCAGCAACAGCAACAGCAACAGCAACCCAAGCTTGTAAATACATTAGTTGGGGTTGGCATGATGCTGTGGTGAACATGATGGTGTGAATGCTAACCCCCTCCTCCCCCAATCGCCCCCACCCGCTTTTGATCTAAACCCAAGCTTCCGCATCTGCAAGTACGGGACTGTTCATGTAAGCTGCCTTTTGCACAGTACAAAAAAAATCTGAGTATCACATTACTTATCTTCTCTTGAAAACTGACAGCATTACATGTGAGAAGAGGTGCTTTCATTCTGCTTTGGGGGGAGGCGCTGCGCCCTCCCCCCAATCCCCCCCGCCCGCTTTTTTATATTGAAAGCAAACGTTCGTACATGCATTCCTTGGGGTTGGCATGATGATGTGGTGAACATGATGGTGTGAATGCTAACCCCCTCCTCCCCCAATCCCCCCCACCCGCTTTTGATCTAAACCCAAGCTTCCGCATCTGCAAGTACGGGACTTTTCATGTAAGCTGCCTTTTGCACAGTAGTAGAAATTCTGAGTATCACATTACTTCTCTTCTCTTGAAAACTGACAGCATTACATGTGAGAAGAGGTGCTTTCATTCTGCTTTGGGGGGAGCGCTTGCGCCCTCCCCCAATCCCCCTCCGCTGTTTTATATGTAAAGCAAACGTTCGTACATGCATGCCTTGGGGTTGGCATGCTGATGTGGTGAACATGATGGTGTGAATGCTAACCCCCTCCTCCCCCAATCGCCCCCACCCGCTTTTGATCTAAACCCAAGCTTCCGCATCTGCAAGTACGGGACTGTTCATGTAAGCTGCCTTTTGCACAGTACAAAAAAAATCTGAGTATCACATTACTTATCTTCTCTTGAAAACTGACAGCATTACATGTGAGAAGAGGTGCTTTCATTCTGCTTTGGGGGGAGGCGCTGCGCCCTCCCCCCAATCCCCCCCGCCCGCTTTTTTATATTGAAAGCAAACGTTCGTACATGCATTCCTTGGGGTTGGCATGATGATGTGGTGAACATGATGGTGTGAATGCTAACCCCCTCCTCCCCCAATCCCCCCCACCCGCTTTTGATCTAAACCCAAGCTTCCGCATCTGCAAGTACGGGACTTTTCATGTAAGCTGCCTTTTGCACAGTAGTAGAAATTCTGAGTATCACATTACTTCTCTTCTCTTGAAAACTGACAGCATTACATGTGAGAAGAGGTGCTGGTCATGGCTTTGGGCGGAGGGCGTTCTAGCACCCTACCCCCAATCCCCCTCCCGCGTCTTTTATATGTAAAGCACACGTTCGTAAATGCATGCCTTGGTGTGGCATTGCTGATTTTGTGGTGAACATGATGGTGGAATGCTAACCTACATTCCTCCCCCAATCCCCTCCAACCCCGATTTTGATATAAACCCAAGCTCAGCATCTGACAAGTACGGGAATTTTTATGTCAACGCGCATTTTGCACAATTGTTAAAATCCCTGAGGATCATACTTCTTTCTGGTGAAAAACTGACAGCATGACATGTGAGAAGAGGTGGCGTGCTGAAAGTGACAGCATTACATGGGAGAAGAGGGCTTTCATTCTGATTCGGGGGAGGCGCTGCGCCCTTCCCCCAATCCCCCCCTCCCGCTTTTTTATACTTAAAGCAACGTTCGTACATGCATTTTGCTTTGGGGGGAGGCGCTGCGCCCTTCCCCCAATCCCCCCCTCCCGCTTTTTTATACTTAAAGCAACGTTCGTACATGCATTTTGCTTTGGGGGGAGGCGCTGCGCCCTTCCCCCAATCCCCCCCCTCCCGCGTTTTTATATGTAAAGCAAACGTTCGTACATGCATTCCGTGGGGTTGGCATGATGATGTGGTGAACATGATGGTGTGAATGCTAACCATGACCATCGTCCGCAGCTTGCATGTTTGCGCACCAGCCTTCTCTTGAAAGCGGACAGCCTTACATGTGAGCAGAGATGCTTGCCATGAAACAAAAATCGGAGACTTTTTCACACCCATTACTATTATTATTACTATTACACTTCCAGTTGCCATTACCATTACAAGTGCATTTACACTTACCTGCCTTTCTTACTACTATTATTATTACTATTACACTTACAAAGCAAAGACAAAAGAGTGACACCTTCTTTCCACGCTGGTTGGGGGAAGCACATGATTCTTTTCTTCGCAATGAAGCTGGACAGGTACGCCACCTCATCACCATCGCTACATCAACGGATGAGGCAGCCGTGTCTGCTGCGCTCTTGGGGCTTGGTGGGCCGAGCCCTGCGCACCGCAGCCCTGAGGAAGTCTTGCGGGTCGTGGCTCGCTGGGCGCTGGTGGGCATAGGACCAGAGAGTGCGAAACATTGGCGCCAGGAGAATGCAAAGGAGGCACTTTGAACGCATGCTCATTTCTCATGTTTCAGCATGTCATTCAAAATAGCCCTTGACTGACACGCATGTCTTTGCAGTTGTTCTTGCCACTGGCGCCAGCAGAATGCAAAGGAAGCACTTTGAACGCATGCTATTTTCTCAGGTGTTTCAGCATGTCATATGAAGTAGCCCTTGACTGCCATATGGATGTCTTGGAATTGTTCTCGTCAATGTAACCGGAACATGTGCACACCTCTTGGCAATACCTTGAAGCCAATAGAATGTCCAACTGTGCATGATCCCAGGAAGCTGCTGCAAGACACACTCGTGGTGTCTGTTTCTTCTGCTCCGTCTTCTGCTGTGCCGGAAGCTGTGAGCACATGCTGCTGTGCTTGCATGCGCTTGAACTCGAGAACTTCCAGGTCGCTTTCCCACGAAAGCCGAAGCAAAAGCGACAGAGAAAAGATGTGTCAGCAAAGAATGCTTCCCCTCGACGCGCTGCTGTGGCAGCATCTTCCGGCGCTGGTGGTGCGTCGCCTTCCAGTGCTGCTGCGCCTATGAGTGAGTCAGTCGCAGCAGCTGCTGCGGCGCCTTCTCCCGATTTCATTGAAGCGACAGAAAAGCACATAGCAAGAAGCATCAAGAGTTATCAATTCTTTGAGGACGCAGCGCGCAAGAGGCGTGCTTCGCGTTTGACGAAGCTCTGAACATGTAGCTGTCTTTGAGCCTACTATACTTTGCGCAAAAAAAAAGAGATCATCGGAGGCAACGGTGATTAGCTCTCTGAACATGTAGGTGTCTTTGAGCATGCTATACTTTGCACCAAAAAAAGGGAAGACTCTGAGATTTGAGGGGAAATAGATCACTGGA